AATTCTATTTTTTAGGTTGTTTATAGCAAATGGGATTAGACATTTTGATTAGAGATAATAGACATTTTCAAAAAAAATAAAAATCAATTTCACTTACATGAGAGTTAAAAGACTGAATTGCAAAGTATAGCCTCATAAAATTTATAAGCCGAGCAAAACTTCACTACACGTGGAGAAATGGAACAATATAGTATTTCAGTCTACATTACCGATTTGTGTTTTTTTTAACAAGTCATATAATTGTCAATTATTCACAAAAAAATTTATATGTCATGATAGATATGGATTCACACTGGTTTTCAGCACTTTTTGACGGGGATTATGATAGCGTAATGAATAATATTGTTGATTATGGTAATTATGGTAATTCTTCTGTAAACAATGGAGATTGCAGTTTGTTAGACCTCTGTCATTGTATTTTCTTCTACATAATTATATTACTGTCTTGTTTAATTTTTTGAAGTGGTATTTTATAAGTAGAACTAGTTTGAATCTTGGGGGAAGGTGGCAAACATGCTTATTATTTATTGACCTATTTTTTTGAAATGAAAAAGGATCCTTCATAGTAACAATTTATCTGAGTAATCACAGTTCTGATAATGACGACGACAACAATGATGATGACCATTCATATGAAGAAGGTGAGTTGTTTTGGAAAAGAATGTTTAATCATTAGAAATTGATTTTATGCACGGCAGGTACCATAACTTTCTGTTATAATACTTATATATATATATATATATATATATATATAAGGAACCTTGTATGAATTTGTATAATACTAGAATGCAATGGTTGACATAAATATTACATAGACATTGGACATGCTATGTAAACATGTTTAGGATGGATGCAACGATATTTTAGAGTCTTTACTTTAAACTTGAAAACTAATATGGGTTACAGGTATATAGAAGAATGCGTGTTTTTGAAAAAGTTGGAATATTTCTTTATACTATTTTTTAGGTTGTTTATAGCAAATGGAATTAGACATTTTGATTAGAGATAATAGATATTTTCAAAAAAGAAATTCAATTTCACTTACAAGGGAGTTAAAAGACTGAATTGCAAAATATAGCCTCATAAAATTTACAATTCGAGCAAAACTTCACTACACGTGGAGAAATGGAACAATATAGTATTTCGGTCTACATTACCCATTTGTGTTTTTTTTAACAAGTCATATAATTTTCAATTATTCATAAAAAACTTTGTATGTCATGATAGATATGGATTCACACTAGTTTTTAGCACTTTTTGACAGGGGTTATGATAATGTAATGAATAATGTTGCTGATTATGTTAATTATGGTAATTCTTTTGTAAATAATGGAGATTGTAATGGTAATCACAGTTCTGATAATGACGACGACGACCATTCAGATGAAGAAGGTGAGTTGTTTTAGAAAAGGATGTTTGATCATTAGAAATTGATGTTATGCACGGCAGGTGCCATAGCTTTCTATTATAATACTTATATATATATATAAGGAACCTTGTATGAATTTGTACAACACTAGAATGCAATGGTTGACATAAACATTACATAGATATTGGACACACTATGTAAACATGTTTAGGATGGATACGATGATATTTTAGAGTCTTTGCTTTAAACTTGAAAACCAATATAAGTTATAGGCAAATAGAAGAATGTGTGTTTTTGAAAAGTTGGAATATTTCTTTATACAATAGCTTTGAGTGCTTCCAATATAAAAGTTCAAGAGAGATTCCAACATTTAGGAGAAATAATTAGTAGTTAATTTAATGAAGTTCTTAGATCAGTTTGTTCGTTTGCTACATATATAATTCAACCTACAAATCCCAGGTTCGTATACACATTGTGTAAAATTATGAACAATCTGAGGTCTATACCATATTTCAAGGTAATATCATTAATTGTATTTGTTGATGGTGGTTCGTATTTTATGAATTTGTGAAATTTATCATGATAGATATGGATTCACACTAGTTTTTAGCACTTTTTGACAGGGGTTATGATAATGTAATGAATAATGTTGCTGATTATGTTAATTATGGTAATTCTTTTGTAAATAATGGAGATTGTAATGGTAATCACAGTTCTGATAATGACGACGACGACCATTCAGATGAAGAAGGTGAGTTGTTTTAGAAAAGGATGTTTGATCATTAGAAATTGATGTTATGCACGGCAGGTGCCATAGCTTTCTATTATAATACTTATATATATATATAAGGAACCTTGTATGAATTTGTACAACACTAGAATGCAATGGTTGACATAAACATTACATAGATATTGGACACACTATGTAAACATGTTTAGGATGGATACGATGATATTTTAGAGTCTTTGCTTTAAACTTGAAAACCAATATAAGTTATAGGCAAATAGAAGAATGTGTGTTTTTGAAAAGTTGGAATATTTCTTTATACAATAGCTTTGAGTGCTTCCAATATAAAAGTTCAAGAGAGATTCCAACATTTAGGAGAAATAATTAGTAGTTAATTTAATGAAGTTCTTAGATCAGTTTGTTCGTTTGCTACATATATAATTCAACCTACAAATCCCAGGTTCATATACACACCGTGTAAAATTGTGAACAATCTGAGGTCTATACCATATTTAAAGGTAATGTCATTAATCATATTTGTTGATGGTGATTCGTATTTTATGAATTTGTGAAATTTATTTTTTTAATCAGCTCAAATTGATGTTATTTGACTTGTTTATCGTATATTAAAATTGTGCAGGAGCTATTAACAATTCACATGTGTATGCATATGTTTTTTTCTAAAAATCAAATTTTATTTATCGGATGAAAAGATGTGTTGACCCAGAATGTTATGGTTGCATGTAGCTTTAACATGCAATTTATTTTTGTTTGGGCGGGTTAGGGAGGTAGTGCATACGATACATGGTAATCACAGTTCTGATAATGACGACGACGACCATTCAGATGAAGAAGGTGAGTTGTTTTAGAAAAGGATGTTTGATCATTAGAAATTGATGTTATGCACGGCAGGTGCCATAGCTTTCTATTATAATACTTATATATATATATAAGGAACCTTGTATGAATTTGTATAATACTAGAATGCAATGGTTGACATAAATATTACATAGACATTGGACATGCTATGTAAACATGTTTAGGATGGATGCAACGATATTTTAGAGTCTTTACTTTAAACTTGAAAACTAATATGGGTTACAGGTATATAGAAGAATGCGTGTTTTTGAAAAAGTTGGAATATTTCTTTATACAATAGCTTTGGGTGCTTCTAATAGAAAAGTTCAGGAGAGATGCCAACATTCAGGAGAAATAATTAGTAGTTAATTTAATGAAGTTCTTAGATCAGTTTGTTCGCTCGCTACATATATAATTCAACCTACAAATCCCAGGTTCGTATACACATTGTGTAAAATTATGAACAATCTGAGGTCTATACCATATTTCAAGGTAATATCATTAATTGTATTTGTTGATGGTGGTTCGTATTTTATGAATTTGTGAAATTTATTTTTTTAATCAGCTCAAATTGATGTTATTTGACTTGTTTATCGTATATTAAAATTGTGCAGGAGCTATTAACAATTCACATGTGTATGCATATGTTTTTTTCTAAAAATCAAATTTTATTTATCGGATGAAAAGATGTGTTGACCCAGAATGTTATGGTTGCATGTAGCTTTAACATGCAATTTATTTTTGTTTGGGCGGGTTAGGGAGGTAGTGCATACGATACATGAATTTTTCTCGAGGTAATTGACAATCCATGTATAAAATTTCCTAAGCCACAAGAATGTAGTAGTGTGTGTGTGTGTGATAATTAATGTTATTTTATTTTATTTTGTAATTTTCAATTTTAAAAAATTATATGTATGAACATGGAAATACTACTTGGTTGATTCGGGATATCTTAATGAATATGGATTTTTAGGTCTATATAGAGGTCAAAGATATCATTTGCAAGAATTTAGGAGGCAAGGACAACCACAAACTCGTGAAGAAATTTTCAACCATACACAATATTCATTATGTTATGTGATAGAATGTATATTTGGAGTTTGGAAAAAAAAATGGTGAATCCTACAGAATATGTCATCCTTTAATTTCAAGGCACAAGTTCAAATGATTGTTGTATTCATGACAAATATATAATTCAACCTACAAATCCCAGGTTCATATACACACCGTGTAAAATTGTGAACAATCTGAGGTCTATACCATATTTAAAGGTAATGTCATTAATCATATTTGTTGATGGTGATTCGTATTTTATGAATTTGTGAAATTTATTTTTTTAGTCAGCTCAAATTCATGTTATTTGACATGTTTATCGTATATTAAAATTGTGTAGGAGCTATTAACGGTTCATATATGCATGCATATGTTTTTTCTAAAAATCAAATTTCATTTATCGGATAAAAAGATGTGCCGACCCAGAATCTTATGGTCGCATGTAGCTTTAACATGCAATTTATATTTGTTTGGACGAGTTGGGGAAGTAGTGCACAAGATACACGAATTTTTCTCGAGGTAATTGACAATCCTTGTATAAAATTTTTTAAGCCACCAGAATGTAGTAATATGTGTGTGTGTGTGATAATTAATGTTATTTTATTTTTGTTTTGTAATTTTCAGTTTAAAAAAATTATATGTATGAACAAACAAATACTACTTGGTTGATTCGAGATATCTTAATGAATATGGATTTTTAGGTCTATATAGATATCAGAGATATCATTTGCAAGAATTTAAGAGGCAAGGACAACCACAAACTCGTGAAGAAATTTTCAACCATACACAATATTCATTATGTTATGTGATATAACGTATATTAGGAGTTTGGAAAAAAAGATGGTGAATCCTACAGGTTATGTATCCTTTAATTTCAAGGCACGAGTTCAAATTATTATTACATCCATGACAATTCATAATTACATTAGAAGATGTGACATTTATAGAGTTCAATCGCCATCTTGATTTTGTGTTTGATGATTTTCTAACTAATGTGGCTCCATATTCACAAAGCCAAGGACACCATAAACCTTGAGTGGAATACGTACGTGATGAAATTGCTGCAAGTTTAATGACATAATTATAAATTATTTTTCTAATATGTTTTAGGTTTATTTGTAAAAAATTATTAGTTGTAATGTTACTTTTAAGTAACTCTTCATTAATATTATGAATTAAGTCATTTTAGGTAATTATACCATAACTTGAAATTGAACCATAATTTTTAACCAAACACATTAAATAATTTTTTGTTTAACCTCAATTTTAACCACAATTTTAACCAAATATATATTTTTTCAAATCAACCTCAACTAAAATCACTTTTTATAAAACTTTTTTTTTTCAAATCACAACTACAATAGTTAACATAATACCAAATGTACATAAGAGTCCTGTATAATTTTAAAACTGAGTTTCAAAATTATTTTTGAAATTTCTTTTTGAATTAATATTTTTTTGGTAAAATTATTTTTGAAAAACATTATTTTTTATTTTTTTGAATTAATATTTTTCTGGTGTTTTTAAATTATTTTTATATGCTGATATTAAAAATAATTTTTTTAAAATACAAAAAATATTATCTTGATATATTTTTAAAAACAATCATAGTCACATTTCTAAACAAATTTTAAATGTGGGGAAAATAGCTTTTCCTGTATGTTTATTTTTGTTTTTTTTCCATTCCTCATGCTTTTTCTTTTTTCTTTTTTAATTTTTTCCTAAAATTATCTTCTTCTTTTTTTATTTTTTTTTTAAATTATTTTTTGTTAAGTTTATATTTTTACTATTAAACTAGTTGAGAATTTAGCTTTATAATTTTTTTCTTTAAAATATTATCGATTGCTACAATGTTTCTCTATATATTTTTTTGCTTTGCTATAGTTATTTTCCAAATGTTTTTTTTTTTGAAATTCTCTTTGTTGAATTTATTTTTTTGATATTGAGATGGTTAAAAATTTAGTTTTGTAGTTATTTTTTTAAAATATTTTGGATTGCTACATTATTTCTTCACATGATTTTTATGTTTTTTATGATTTTTTTTAAAAATTATCTATGTCGATTTTATTTTTTTAATATTGAGTTGGTTGAGAATTACAACTATAGTTTTACTCACAAAACATTATGGATTGCTATAGTGTTTTTCCACATAGGTCTTTTTTTATGTTTTTTTTCAGAATTATCTTTATTGCTTCTATTTTTTTAATATTAAGTGGTTGGGAATTTTTATTTGTATTTTTTTTTTAAATATTGTGGATTGCTACAATCATTCCCAACATATGTTTTTGGTTATGAATTTTTTTAAAACTTATCTTTGTTGAATTTATTTTTTTAATATTGAGTTGGTTGAAAATTACAACTGTATATTTTCTCATAAAACACTATAGATTACTATAGTGTTTCCCTAAATATTTTTTTTTTTAATTTTATTTCTAGAATTATTTTTATAATTTTTTATTAAAAATATTGCAAATTACAACAATCTTTATCCATATAATTTTTTATAAATCTAAAACAACACACAAACATGACTTATGTCAGTGGCAGCTTGCGTCTAATAAGACTTGTACAAGGTTTTATTCGGTGATTGACAAGTAAATTTATTAATTTTTAATTTAAATAATATTATTTTTATAAAATATTTTTCTTATTTTAACCGGACTTAGATTTTGATGAATTCTTGAATAAGATGGTGGTCTGAGAATATATTAATTATTATATTTTAAAGTAATGTTTATGTTAAAATATATTAAAATAATATATATTTTTTAAAATTATCTTAATACGATTATCTCGAGGCACATCACGACCTACAGGCAAGATTGCGAGACCCAGGAAGCCAACCCAACCCCGATTAAGAGTCAAATGACTCTCTCTCTCTTTACTTTCAATCTTTTCTAATAATTGATAGTGCATTTATTTAAATGTAAGTGATTATTTTTGGCAGTTAGGATGCGGAGCGGCAGGGGTGGATTTCCTGGCGGCCGTCGCTTCTTTTCCTAAACCTGATGACAAGATCCGAAGCACTAGCTTGAAGGTCTCCCTCTTTCCCTCCCTCACTTTGTTTTTTATTTTTATTATTTATTATAATAAATAATAATACAATTGGTTTGCTTGTCAGGTGCAAGGAGGTGGAAATGCGGGGAATGCGTTAACATGTGCTGCTCGTTTGGGTTTGAATCCCAGGCTCATTTCCAAGGTACCGCCTTTAACTTTTTCCCTATCAATGTCTCCTTTTTTTCAAAGCAATTAAGGACTTGTTTTAAGGCTAAATGACCCAAAATTACCCTGAATTTTGGGTCAAAATGAACTTAATCCCTAAATTTTATTTTATTTTTATTTGAGTTCTTGAACTATTTTTTGGTAGAGAAAAGACTCGTCAGTTAATTTTGATCTCAGGTGATAGTCTAGAAACACAAATAAATAAATAAATAAAATAAAATAAAATTTAATGGAGGAATAGAAACCGGGATGGAGGGGTTTATTTTTTAAACTTTTTTGTTCTCCTTTTCTCAAGGCAATTCTGGATTTGTTTTACTTCTAAGAAAAATAATTTTGTGCATTTTGAAATTGACTAGGTTGCTGATGATATTCAAGGCAAGGGAGTTTTGGAGGAGCTAGAATCCGATGGTGTTGATACTTCTTTTTTTGTGGTGAGACTATACAAGATATAGGATATCTCAAGCATTCATTCATTTTGACGCGTTGCTAAACTGCATTCTATGTATTAGATTGCTATGTTTTATGGTTAAGCTCTTTTTAATTTCCTTTTTGGCATTCGGCTATGAACATCTTCTGTTATATGTTGACTCAATTGGTCTTGTTTTAGGTTTCCAAGGAGGGAAATTCACCATCTACGTATATTATTGTTGACAATGAAACGTAAGGGCTTTGCTTGAATACTCCATTCTCTGCTATCACACTTGATTCATTGTGTAAATAGTGTGTTTACTAATGGACAGGGTGTTTTGTTTATAAGGTTTGAGGGTTGTGTTTGAGTAGCTTTCTCGTTTGTTCATAATCCTTACGATTTTAAAAGGGAAATAAAAAAACTGATCTTTGGGATTCATATTGTGATCATGGCTCAAGACATGATTGGAGTTGAAAAAAAGTTGTGTGCTCTTCCAAAGGAAAAAATGAAAGAAAGAACCACACGGAAGTTTTACTGGGCTGTATTTGTGTTAATTGCATGTATAACTCTGTCACAACATTATTCAACAGAAAAAAAAAAATCTGTCACAACATTACATCTATTTTCTTTCTCCTTGGAAACTTATCCATTTAGATCTTTGGAGATACATAGACTGTTTCTTTTCTCTCACAAATAATCCCAGTATCACAGCAGCATTAGGAATCTTGTCTCAACAGATTGTCTTCTTTTCCAGTGCTTTAACATCGGTGTGTTATGATTGGATCAACACTATGGTTTAATTAGCTAATTTTGTTAGTTCACTTGGGTATTATGTTTGACCAGAAACGAATAGTTGAAAACCTGGTTTCAAAATTTTGAAAGCTCCAGGTAATTGTTGTATCTGATATTCAGGAAAACCCGTACCTGTATTCATACTCCAGGATATCCTCCCATGATACCAGATGAACTTTCCCGGTCAAGCCTTTTATCTGCATTGGATGGAGCAAGACTTGTTTATCTTGATGGAAGGTTACATGAAACTGCCTTAGTCATTGCAGAAGAGGTAAAAGTTATTGTTTGTTACCTCTAGTTGTTTTAATGCTTACTGCTTGTGCTTGACCTTATATTAGGGTCATCTCATTAACAACTAACAAGTTAGAAATTAAAAATAGAATGTGGTTCATATGTTTATTTCTTTTATATTGATTATGAAAAAGGGTTGCCAATCATCTTCATCACCTGGTCAATATTTGTCTTCTAAATGTTTTAATAGCATATCCTGCCTTTCCTTTTTAATCATGTAAAATCTACTTAACGGTGTCAAATAAATTCAGTAGTGCACCTTCCTGTTCTCCCTCTTCTCCCTGTTCCATGATAGCTACAATCCATTGGGTTGCCAAAGGCTTATCATGACAAAGCTGTTTGCACTTGCCATGTTCTTTTGAAATGTTATGCTGTGATTAAAGCATGGATGGCCAAATTAGTCTAGGTGATGTTATCATCAGAAGCCACTATAAAGTATAAACTATTCTCACAACTCCTTTTGTTGGATCTAACATACTTGTGCCTTTTTCATTTGTGCACTCAGGGGAGGTCGTTCCCCTTTGTTGCTTGTGTTATTGACCACTTCAATTTGCGAACTTTCATTTTCTTAATTTGCATCCCGTTGTTTTTTTCTTTTCAAACATTCAAGGAAATGGATCATCTGACCTAGCTGTAGGACTGTATATGAGCCGAGCTGAGCTTTGATGTGTTTGAGCACCACTTATCTAATTTTAGCTAGGTTCAAGCTTGGCTCATTTAAAATTTGTTAGGCTCGGGCTTGGTTTAGGCTTCTCTCGAACTTGATTCGTTTAAGCTGCTTAATGAGCCTATAAGCAGGCTAGAATTAAACTTTGGAATATGAAAATATCATACAGTTGTGATATCATAAAAAGTCTTATATTTATATTTTTTTTAACTCCATGTAACGCACACATATATAACTGCTAAGTTTCCTATTAAATTTTGTTCATAAAAAGAACATTTTTGGTTTCATGTTAAATTAGTTTATTTTATGAAATCTTATACAAGTTCTTTATTCTTTCAAATTTTCTCAATCTTATAAATGAACTAATTTGCAAGCTTTTAAACAAGTTTGCTGATAAGCCTAATTCATGAACCTAAGTGAGTTGACTCACGAACCTTAATTAGCCGAACTTAGCTAAGCTCAAGTCTGGTTCATTTATATAGTGAGCTTTAACATATAAACTCATCATGGATTGACAAACAAGTTTGAGCCGAGCCCTTAGCAAACCTAGTCGGAAAAGCAGTCTAGTATAATCCTATAACTATTTCCTTGTATACAGGTTATAAGGCTGCCCTGTAGCACCATATCATGCTGATATTCTCACTTGCCCAATTTGTTTCATGCGAATGTGTTCTTTCATGTACAGCTGTACCTGCACATATCCCTCCTTTGTTTTGTTATCCTTGCTTTTTATCAAGGAAAAAATAATCATCTAACAGCAATTACTGGGAGGTCAACATCATGTATTTGGTTCTTCCAGTACAGACAGCTCGCAAAAATATACCCATTTTGATTGATGTGGAAAGAAAGAGAGAAGGGCTGGATGATCTTCTGCCGTTGGCTAGTTATGCTGTATGCTCATCAAAATTTCCACTGGTAAGCTGAATATTCTTTGATTGAATAACATTTGATTTGCACAACAAGAGATTATAGACATATTGGGGATATACTGTAACTAATGCATCTCCACTCTTCCTCCCCCCTTCAGAAAGGGGCTTATGATGTTTTAGCATTTTATCAGGTGGTGAACATTAAAGAAAAAACTCTCATTAGCTTGGAAGCATGTAGATTGTTAAAAGTTGATTTGAATTTGCAGTACTCTCATGACTTCTTTTATTCATCTTTTGCGAGTTGAGTTTTATCTTGTTTTTATAAAGCCCTATGATATGTTCCTATCAACAATACATATATGCTTTTTGCAGAGAAAGTTTCTCATGTAATCTATTTTGAACACCTGAATTGGTCTTATGGCAGGTATGGACAGAGGCACCATCTATTTCAAGTGCACTTGTTTCCATGCTTCTGAGATTGCCGAAAATCAAATTTGTGATTGTGACCTTGGGTGAAGATGGATGTGTAATGCTTGAGAGAAGCACAGAAGGTGAGTGTACACTTAGTTTCACAGTGTAAAAGACAAAGTGCGCAACACTCTTTTAGAACTAAACGTTATTTATTTGCTTTGTAAACTTGCCTTTTGTTTGGTTTTTTAGAGGCTCCTGCATCAGAAGAAAAGGATGTAGATAGCTTGTTGGAGTCACTGAAGCAGAGAAAGGATGATAACGTAGCCATCCCAACATGTTATGCATCAGTAATTTATATCTTACTGGAACTCAATTGACTATCTTTCCATATTACTGAGCTTGATCAGTCTGCAGCAACAATCTCAAGTGAAGGGCTACATGAACTGCCTTTTCTCTTCAAGTATGAAATCATTAATTAAGAAAAAAGAAGCCCACATCAGGCACATTCAGTGCATCTTTCTGGCATGTAATTTAGAGCAATAGGAGAGATTGTAACTTTCCTTTTTGATTCACCATGGTGGTTCTAAAGTGCCACTGCTACTGGGAAATAATATGTTTAATAAAAATGTCTTTGAGATTGCCATGTACTAGAAAGGCCTAGCTACTTTCAAGGACATCTGTTAGGTTTACTCTATCACAGGGAATGAAAACATTTTTATGCTAGTTGTCATTCGATAAAAGCCTGCTCAGATTAATCATTATTTTCAAGAATGGAATGGAATACCCTTTATCCCCATACAGGTATCCTGTATATGGTTGTTGAAGACGATGCTCTCTCAGCATCTGCCAATGTGATTTCACTATTTGGAGCAATTTTCTGCCCAATTTACCCTATTTATTCATGAAAGTTTCAAATTTGTGCTCTTTGGATGGTCAACATGAATGAATGTTTGAAGGTTATACTGCATGTGTCTGATCCTTCCTTGGACAGCTTTATGTTATTTGGAGCTTTTAGGAGGATGCTACAGTGGTTATATTTGTGATTTGTTTGCTTGATCACTGAATGAAATTATAATTTCATTTTGATGTACCTGTTTAATTTCAGATTAAAGTTACTATGACGTTAACACAATGAATTCTCAATGGACTAATCACTTCACATCTTTTCCTTCCAGCCACTGACAAAGATAAGAGCAAACGGTATAGGGACAGTGAATGGGAGGTTGCTTGTGGGAACAGCTGAGAAGATACCACCACCAGAACTTGTCGATACGACCGGTGCTGGAGATGCTTTTATTGGTGCTGTTCTTTATGGTAGGTGTAACTGGTGAATGTGAGTGCGTGTGCTTTGAGGTTGTGTTTTAATGTTGGTCTTCCACAGATTATTGTCTTGTATAATATCCCTGTTGTGGATTATATGCTTGTATTAGATTCTAGGTGAACCACGAGCAGTTTTACCAATATTAGATTATGAAATTCACCTGACACCAGGGATTGAGAACAATATTGTTTTCAAAGGAACAACATTGTTAGCATGGATTGTGTTCAATCCAGTTCAACTGCCAAGTTGTTCATCCCCTAGACATTATCCCAATCAGTCTGGGATTGACTCAACCTTGCTGGGATCTAGTCTTACATTTATCAATCCGGTGTATTACAAGGATCTTAAGACCTAATGGCAGTGTCATGTTATCCATCATTTCTACGATTACCATATTCTGTCTGTTGATACACTTTAGATTGCTGGTGCCGTTTAAGAGCTTGGAACTCATCTATGTTCATTTGTTTTTCTGCTAGCTATCTGCGCCAACATGCCTCCGGAGAAGATGTTACCATTTGCTTCTCAAGTGGTACGCTCACATTTTTTTCAACCTAACATCTCCCTCACCCCCGCAAGCCCTTTGCGTGTGGTTGGGGCTCATTCAACAGGTTATTTTAACGTGGAGTTGATTGCAGGCAGCTGCTGGCTGTAGGGCCTTGGGAGCTCGAACGGGTCTCCCGCACCGCACTGATCCACGCTTGGCAGCCTTCTTGCACTAGAGCTCTCATATTGTGTACACCATTTGTCATTATCCGTTATATGAACTTGTAATCAACTTGAACCATGGCAACGTTCCATGTCAAAGCTTTCAGTCCTTAGCATAAGGACTGGAATTAATGCTCAAAGACCTGCTGATCTAGTAAAGTTGATATTGATTGTCAAAGTGACCCAGTTGACCCAGTAACTCATTGGTAACTCGGTAATCCGATAGTTATGGTAGAAAAGAGGTGTAAACAAATGGCTACCTAAATGAACAAGCAAATAAACGCTTCCAGGTAGAAAAGAGGTGTAAACAAATGGCTAGACAAAAATAGGCAAGCATTTGAGGTTCCACACATTACAGCACGATGACTAGACAAAAACAATTAGGATATCACAACCAAAACCTAAGCCCTTCTACTATGTTCAAATGTCTATCCCAGCGAATCAGCTATACCCTACACGTAAAAGACATGAACTTCTTGCAGCCTACAACAAACTATCAGCCTTTGTAGGCAACCTTCTGAAGAAACTTAAAGCTCTCGGAGGCAACTTGTTCCTGAATTTGGGAGGCCTCATCACATACAGCCCCCACAGAGCCACTACAACCCTGATTGGCACTGCATAGAACCCAATAGCCGCGAACAGGCACATAACCACGAACAAGAAGGTGGCTCTTGGGTCTCTCCAACCTAGCAATGCCTGGAAACGTTCACCTTGAGAAGCCATATCACCAACCACAGTTTGAATCCTCCCTGCCACACTCCTCAGCCTATCATACCTCATCCTGACTGTCTCGGCACTTCGGCTTGTTGGAAAAGAGTCAAATTCTTCATCCAGTTCATCGAAGTAAACACTTACAACATGAGAAAGCTTAGTATCCATGTGGGGTGGGTGACGTGGTCGTGTCCTGTATCGCCAGAGTCCCACAGATGCCATGTAGAGCAACAGTGAAGGGATAATGAGCTCAGGCATTGCAACCCACAAGAGGAACGCTAAAACAAACAAGGTTGAGTAGACTGGCTTGTGCCAATTGCGCATCGACTCCACCCACCGAGCCATGGCAACAAGAACAGAGAGTCCACTTATTAGTCTAGCGAAGTTAGCCTTGCTTCTTCTCATGCTCCACATATGAGAATCGTGATCAAGCATGTACTCCACCACTTCTCGCCCCAGTGGTGGCTCTGCACGACTAAGCCGTGATGCCACCACATTCATTGCTTGATACCTCATGGCATCCAGTTGGTTCACACTCAATGGTTGCACATAATGCATCTGTGGCAGCAGTGGCAGTGTGTACATGTGCAACATATTAGCCATGTTCGCACAAGAAAACCTAACAGCTAAATGAAGCTCACCCATCTTCTTGACACCAGTAGTGTGTAGCATAAGGAGAGGATAAGAATGTGTGTAAACCCTGTCTGATTCAAGAGTTGATAACCGAACTCTAACTTTCCCAATACGAGAATCACGAGCACCGGCATTGTTAAACACGTTCTTGTCTGTTCGACAGTTATCAAAAACCCCAACAGTGATGACTGTGCAAGGATCAAACACTTCCCAAGTGTACTGCTCGTTCCATTTGGGTGAGAAACTATCAACAACCGTGCGTGTTCTCACCCATTTCTGACCATACTTTGCAACACAGTAAGCATCTATGGACTCCCTTTTCCCTTCCTTGAGTTTTGTTGGCATCAGCCCTGTTGCACCCAAAATTCCCATCTCAAGAACACCAATGTGAGGCTTCCATAGCTGTTTTGCAGTTGGCCTAACATCGCTGCTATACATTGTGCTCTCATCTAGCACATGGTAGCCCCCATCTAGAGACAGCCTGAGGTGAATTTTAGACCCAAATCTCGTCACAAGTTTTGACTCAACTGCACTGCCAAATTGATTATCAAGATTGAACCACCTAGAAACGACTTGTTTATCGTCATGACGCCTTTCAATCGCAGCCACTGGAAGCATAACTCTGCCAACAGCCTCCTCTCGCCCCGGTCCAACACGATCCTCGACAGAAAGGAACAAGAAATCCTCAAATGGCTCTGCAACTACAAACATCAATTCCTCACTCCAGTAAGGATTGATCATACTCCTGTTGGGGTTAGGCCCTGCTATTTTAGTCCTCAGAATCTGGTTGCCCACCTGGACTTTCACAAAAAGTTCTGGGAACCTCATCATTCCCAGACCCTTTTCCCCGGGAACAATATCTTGTGCTTCAATAACAGCCACCCGTAGATACCACAGCTTAGGTGATAGATAAACCTTGGATTTGATCGAGCAAAGCCCCTCAAAATGCACATTTGCTGCCTTTGAATGCCAAGCCTCGGCGAAGGCCTCATCAGCTTGAGTCCCAAACCAAATAGACACCATAAGCTCGCCACCTTTTGACTTGTCCCCTTTCTTGTCCTCCATTCTGTACCATTGTGGTGCTAATTGACTGTCAGGGGGTACCCTTCTAGGAACTTCATTCAAATCAAACCAAACTCGGCCCAAGTAATCATCTTTGTTGCCTTGTTTGACAAAAACCTCCACCATTGATGACTGTATGCAATCTTTAGAGAAAGCAAAAACTTGGTCCCATTCCACATTACTTGAGCTGATTACCTTCTTTGTAACCCCTCTATAGTTCCCTAACTTCACCTCCGCCACTACTTCACCACCACCAAACAACATATTATATTTAGCCTTGACAACTCTAACATAAAGATACTGCATTAGCTCAACAAGATCATAAGTTGAACTAGTTTTATCTTTGTTTAAACGACCCCCACCAAGGTGTGGACTTGTTTCTTTAAGAGAGAACTCACTAGAACCGTTTGAGTGCACACTAATCCCACCAAGACCAGCACCTCCAGCAGGGCCTACAATGCTCCCTCCAGAACTAGAAACAAGCGAACCAGGACCATGAGCAGTAGTGGTGACAACAGGTTTAATCCCGCCTGGGTTCGTCTCAACAGGCTTTGCATTAATACTGTTCTGGCCTTGCTCTTGTGCTTGCTTGTTATTGTTGATGACCTCTTGAGACAACTGTTGCGGTTGCTGCAATGTAACTGGATTCTGCTGCTGTATCTTCTTGTTCTTCTTCGAAGAATGAGAAGATCCAGGAGTACTAGAAACCACCTCTCCATTACCAAAACCCCCAACTTCCTTAACCTCCTCTCTTGTAGAAACATAAAGCTTTAAACTTATCTCTCCTCTTATATGAGAAAACAAGCTTCTTTTATCGAGAGTGTGCAACTGCACCACCTCCTCACCTTGTTTAGCAACACTTGAACCAGAAACTCTAACTTTACCCAGAAAGTTTCTGCCGTTGCTTGACCTCCTCTCATTGAAGACATTAACCTCTATAGCTCTGTAAGAAAGATCTGCAACATCTTTGATGTGAAACACAAGCTTCTGATTCCATATAGGGTTCAAGTCTTTGTACTTGACTTGTGTTCTTAGTCTTTGGTTCTCAAACTCCACCTCCACAAAAGGTGATGACGAGCCTTCTCCATCTTTTGGCATCAAGTTGTGAGCTGCTACCACCTCCACCACCAGCTTTTCTTTGCTGGTCATGGCCATGCTGCTGCTGCTGCTAGTTCTTTTTTTGACTTTGCAAACGGAAAGATACAAAAGAAGAATCTAAAGAGAGAGGACAATGGAGACAAACAAGAGGCTGGAGTGAAAGCTAAAAGGAGGAGAGGATGCAGAAGGGCTGGCAAAAAATATGCTCTCGTTCAAGGTAGTGGACAGTTTTTTGAGAGAAAGAATACTGCTGAGTCTGAGTGCTGAGTTGGTGAAGGAAGTAAAATGTTTTGAGTTGTGCTACGTTTTCACTACTGTAGATCGTTTGATATACGAACTAATCATGGATCAATCAAAGCCAACAATGGCTGTGACAGAGTAATATAATGGAACTGCAAGTGCTAACATTCCTAGTGCTTGTTCGTAAACCCCCCTTCTCAAGTCAATCCCCATGTTTTACGTACGCCGTTTGTTTCCGTTCTAGTTAAGCACTATACAAGTTTTTGGCCGGTTTCAAAAATAAAAATCCATCGTAATTTGACGAATTTAACTTGGTTGACCTTAATATATTGATTTCTTTTAAATATTCTTTGAAATAATATTATTTTAATTCATACGGGTTAGCTTATTAATCCATGACACAGTTCTAAACCGAGTTAGGTTTAATTATTTTTATTGTTGCTATTACATTATACAACAACGAGAACAAAGTGAGAAGAAAAAAATCTTTTCTTCTCTTTATTTCTTTACGTCCTCAAATTCAAAACAAATTTTAACTAACACCAGTATTATGCCTTGCACATTTTTTAAGACCAGTGGGTCACAGTGGATCAAAAGCCTTTTCACGTAATTAATATGAAATAAAATTTGTTTACTAGAACTCATGCGTGCCTATTTGAAAAAGCATATGCAAATTGATATTATAAAACAAACATTTGATGGTGATAAGAGTTAATTTTTAGGGGCCTGCTGCGTGGAAACAGTAGCTTTTTCAAGCGTTTCGAGTAAAGTCTGCCTTGGAAGGAAGGAATTTCAGCAAGGAGAGACAGAATCCTTACAGGGAATCCAGTATTTTCTTAAAATACATTGGGAGAGAGAGGCGGGGAGCATAGGGTAACCCAACTTTTGCAGCCCTGAATCTCGAAGTCCGAGGTTTTAAGTAAGCACTGTCTCTTCCAGACATTTTCTTACGGTTCTTGTGTTTTTCTCCTCTGCTTTGTGACAACGTCTGGTCCCTTAGCTGTTTCTTAGACACAGGTAACATGGTCCCATGAAACAAGCAATGGCTCTTATCCTCTCTTATATGCCTGGAATTTGAAAGCCATAGCTCCTTCTTGTTCACCGTGTTTGCAACACCTATAGGGTCCCCACTCATTCCATGAAGCGATGTAGAACCACAGCTACTGGTTTGTTTTTAACCAGGATGGGAAACTTTTGAATTACATTACATAAACACCAAGTACATGCTAGTAACAAGTAAAGAGAGAGGATTGGTGCTGCCACTGCTGATGACACAGGGTTAGGGCTAGGGCTAGGGATAGGGCTACGGCTAGGGAGATCGAATTAACTCATAGATTTAATGGTTCTCCAATGAATGCAGACCGGTTCACTAAACAAATTGCATCCAAGCATTGAGGAGCGACGTTTTGTTTTCCTGCATGCTCATAAGGAAAATTCG